ATTGAGTCAGTTGTTGGTGACCCCGCCGTCGTCAGATGAGCATTGCAGTGACCAAAGCGAAATGTCATGGTAGCATGGAACATCTAGAGGATAGATGAATAGTCTCCTGGTTGAGTGATTGTGAGGAAGGACATGATATTTGTTCAAAAATTTCTCTTCCTTTTTACTTCGAATTATTATTTATTACGACGTTTCGAAGCTTAGTACCTTCTTCATCGGGTTTTAAAAATAGAACTAATTTTTAAGAATAAGAACACATATCGATATCGATCAATCATGATTACCAGTGTTACACAAAAACAGAGAACAAATTAAGAAGAGAATTGAAGTTAAAAAGACCAAATAAGGATTAGCACTATGGGACGGTAATAGTGGAACGGACGAAGAAGAGACTATGTAATATAGTTTCGTTTCTGTTCCAGTGTTACCGTCCTGTTGTCGTCCGTTCCACTATTAAAGAACATAAGAAGAGAAAAAGGAAAAATTGACTTTTGTACATACATATATAAGTGTTCTTATTCTTAAAAATTAGTTCTATTTTTAAAACCTGATGAAGAAGGTAGTAACCTTCGAAACGTCGTAATAAATAATAATTCGAAGTAAAAAGGAAGAGAAATTTTTGAACAATTGAATACTCTGCTGGTTGGCATTCATCACTAGCTGCATCATCATTAAGTCAGTTGTTGGTGACCCCGCCGTCGTCAGATGAGCATTGCTTCACGAAAGTGCAGTGTTATCTGGTACCATAAAACATCTAGCAGATACCTGAATAGTCTGCTGATTGGCGTTCTTCAGTAGCTGCATCATCGTTGTGTCGGTTGTTGGTGAGCCGGTTGTCAGAAGATGAACGTTGCTATGAGGAAAGTGAAATGTCATTCGGTGCGATGCAACATCTGGAGATTGATGAATAGTGTAATCGTTGGCGTTCTTCACTAGCGGCATGATCATTGATTCAATTGTTGGTGACCTGGTCGTCGTCAGATGAGCACTGCTGTTACCAGAGTGAAATGTGAGCTGGTGTCATGGAACATGTAGGCGACCGACGACTAATCTGCTGATTGGCATTGTTCACTACCTGCAGCATCATTGATTCAGTTGTGGGTGACCTCGTCGTCGTCAGATGAGCAATGCGGTGCAGAAAGCGAAATGTCATCTGGTGGCATGCAACATATAGGAGATAGGTGAATGGTCTGCTGCTTCGCATTCTTCACTGGTTGCATCATCACTGAGTTAGTTGTTGGTGACCTCGTCGTCGTCAGATGAGCATTACTTTGACTTAAGCGTAATATCATCTGATGCCATCGAACATCTAGGAGACAGATGTATAGTGTAATTATTGGCATGTTTCACTAGCTGCATCATCATTAAGTCAGTTGTTGATGAGCTCGCTGATGTCAGATGAGCATTGGTGTGACGAAAGTGAAATGTCATCTGGTGCCATGGAACATGTAGGAGATACATGAATCGTCTGTTGGTTGGCATTCTTCACTAGCTGCGTCGCTATTGAGTCAGTTGTTGGTGACCTCGTCGTCGTCAGTTGATGATTGCGGCGACGAAAGAGAAATGCCATCTGGTACCGTGGAGCATGTAGGAAGTACTTGAAGAGTGTAATCGTTGGCATTTTTCACTGGTCGCCTCATCCTAGTCAGTTGTTGGTGACCTCGTGGTGAGCAGCTGGGCATCGCTGTGACGAAAATGAAATGTCATTTGGTACCATGGTACATCTAGGAGATAGATGAATAGTCTGCTCCTTGGCATTCTTCAGCAGCTGCATCATCATTTAGTTAGTTGTTTGGTCAGATGAGCATTGCTTTGACGAAAGTGAAATGTGATCTGGTGCCATGGAACATTCTGAAGATACCTGAATAGTCTGCTGATTGGCGTTCTTCAGTAGCTGCATCATCGTTGTGTCGGTTGTTGGTGAGCTGGTTGTCAGAAGATGAACGTTGCTGTGAGGAAAGTGAAATGTCATCTGGTACCGTGGAACATATAGGAGATAGATGAATAGTCTGCTGCTTGGCATTCTTCACTAGTTGCAGCATCATTCAGTCAGTTGTTGGTGACCTAGGCGTCGTCTGATGTGCATTGCTGGGACGAAAGTGAAATGTTATCTGGTGCGATTGAACATCTGGTAGGTAGATGAATAGTATGATGCTGTTGTTCGTTTGTGAATTGCGGCGTTGTGAATTGCACTGTTAGTTAGGAACAGTGAATTAAGAAGTTCATAAGATTTTCATAAGATTCTTGCAGATATTCTATAAGATTCCTATAGGAATCCTATATAAGATTTGATCTGTAGGGTGGTTAGTATATGTCAAATATTAAAGCATGGAAGACACCTTAAATTTTCTTCTTTATGCAAAATGGCATTTGTTAAAGGGAAAAAAATATTCGATAACTTGTTGATTGCTGACTAGCTGTTCTTGAATAATACTACTGGAAATCGCTTTATATCCATCATCTGTACGTGACGTTAGTCCGTACGGATTTTTTTTGCTTTACTTTGATCATTTTCTTCTTTATCTTCGTTAGCGTTCGGTCTAGTTTTTCGCGCTCGAAGAACCAGTCGTTGCCATGTAACAGTCTCACGTTCTTTTGTATCAAAGTAATTGTACGCATCTCCCGCCCAGTTCCACTCGCCGCCTGAACACTGTTTGGGAGTTGCACGCGTTGTTGTTTGTTTAGTGCCCCACCATGTCCAAAAACAACGACTGAAAGCGTATGTCTTTGGCTTAACGTATTCTCTGCAACACGGACAGAAGGTTGTGTTTTTATTTGGCTCTGCAACCAAATCGAACTTTACCCCATTGACATGATAACTTGTTTGTGAAAGCCACACAAGACTCATTACGGCATACGCCTTCTAGCGACAGGCCATGTTTCGTTACCCATCTCCACGAATTATTTTCTTTAGTCGCCCAGGCAACCGTCTTCATAGCATGTTGATCACTGACGTCCACGAAGTCGATACCACCGAATGGCACGCCGTCACCTCGTAATCTCAGAACGATATGAAGCGTAGACCCTTCTTTAATACCATAGCTAGCAAGTGAATGCTGGTCTTCGAGCTGATAACCTGCAAATTGATAGCTGCTCAATTCCGAGGGCTAATAAGGCTCCTACTACCACTAGCAGCTGGAAAGTATCACCCTAGAGCTTGACCCTCGTCTGCAAAAGGGTCTGAGCAGATCACCAAGTCTCTACTTCACTTACCTAAGTTAAATCGAAGTTGTGTAAATAAAAATGTATTCGTTAAAGTATATAGGTCAACGAGAAATACAATACACAGACGTTAATAAAAATGATAAAGAAAACTCTCTGAAACTAAAGTAATATAAATGTGGTATATATATAGTATGTATGTATATATATATATATATATATACGTATGTAGTATATACTAATAGACCAAAAATAGCACAGTAGTTAACAATACAGACAACAGGACAGTCTGTGAAAAAATCTCTCTCACACGTGGATAAAAGAGAGAGAAAGAAACAAGAACGAAAATGAAAGAAATGTGACTATCTAGCTGACCAGAGAGAAACAAGAAAGGCAGCGACAGTTAGCGACAACGCTGGTTTATTGTTGTAGCTAACACCTCTCCCGCTGACTGAGATGTGTCATCCATCTTGCTCCTACTGCTACTGGCAGCTGGAAACGACGGGAGCACACCTCAGTCAGGGAGAAGGCGTAACTGAACGAAACGGCGTACTGTCTTGAAACGGAAAGAATAAAAATAGTTTAACAGAATGTTTATAGTTCTGGTTCTGGTTCTGGTTGTTGCTTGCCTAACCATTCTGTTAAATTTTCTTCCTTAAATGCATCATCTGGTAACTGATGATTGGCGAGATGGGATTCTTCTTGTGTTTTCAAACATATTTCTAGTTTTCCTTTTTGTGGATTTGGGGTATGGTACGAACTGATGCCATAATGTGTTAAGATAGCTTTTATTAATTTCATACTCCGACCTTTACATATTGTACGTGAAATTGAATTTTCTAGCAGATGCTCTTTTGCTCTTTCATGTCGTTTTCTATTTCGGACCGTCTTTTGTTCAGCAGTACGTACTGCTTTCGTTTTTTCCTTCGGTGGTTGCTGTTGTTGTTGATCTGTATTGATTTCATTGGAAGATGTTGTAGTTGTTGATGATATGAGTGTTGCTGTTGCTGTATCAATAAGGTTATTAGAATTTACATTATCGTCTAATGTAGAATGATTTAAAGCATTTTGGGGGTGTTCTGTTACTGTTATGGTATGCGAAGTTAAAGATTTACAATGATGAAATATTGCGTTGAATAATAGATCTTGATATAAAACGTCTATATGAATACCATCACTATTCAAATGATGTAATTGAATTTGTGGATCAAGTAAATGCACGTTGAAAGTTTCTGTTAACAATTTCAATGAAGTATTATACTTGCTGATGTTTGATTGAAGATTTTCGAAAGGAAATCAGTTTGTCTGTTTAGCACAAGGAATACAATTTACGATAGCTATTGATTTTATGTTTGGAAAACGAGTACGAATGATGAGAATGAATGTTTCGATTTGTTGAATTATTTGATTATATGGAGTTATTCTTATAGAATTTGTTCCAGGTAGTAGAATTAATGCACATGAGGATGAAAGACGGGAAGACACGGCTGCTGTTGTAAGGGCATCTATTGCTGACATGTTTTCCTGATAATTGTCTACCCATTTCATTCCTGATTGCCATTCAATATCGAACTGGTAATTGCATGATGATGGTAGACGTTTATGAATGTTTCTTCCATGACTATCGGCTAATAAGAATATATGGGGTTTTTCAATCATTGTTGTTGACGTAGATGTGTGTGAAGTGAAGCAATATTCTGGAGTTTTTAAAAAGAAATACAAATGGGTGGGAACGAAGACATCGTTTATAGCATAGATAATCATTTCTGCACGTGTAATTTTATCTTCTTCTGTTTCCCATGTTTTTAATTTTTCGCCTAAACCACAAGACCATAAATTGACAGTTAATTCTTTATTTAGTGCTTTATCAAAAGTTGTTTTAAGAGCTTTTTCAAGTGACCAGCCGGTGGCTTTTGACTTATATGGTCGATGTTCTGTTGGACAAATGCACAAATGGTGATCTGCATGTTTGTCTTGTAAATAGTCATTATCATCGTCGTTTAGATTATCGTTGTGTATATCACATATTAAATCATAATCCTCACAATTTTGTTGTTCTGAATCTAAAAGTAATTTATTTTGACGACATGTATCTATGTGTGGATGCTTTTGATTTCAGCAGTTAGTAAAATATTCTTGCA